GCCCCCCCCCCCCCCCGGTTTAGATTTGATCTGCAATGTTTCACTGGATTGCTTGTTTTCCAGGGACCCACAATAACAAAAGACCAAATTAATCAAGCAACATGCAGCTGTAGGTTATGTTTTCAAAATAGCCTTTCAACTCAACCTCTCCACTTGATTCTCCTAGAACAGGGTTCCTCAACCTCAGCAACTTTTAAGATGGGATTAAGAATTCTGGGAGTTGAAGTCCACCCATCTAAAAGTTGCTGAGGTTGAGGAACCCTGTCCTAGAACATACTGTAGGTTATGTCTCCACTTGTTTTCTGCTAAATCAAGCTCATGTAAAGAACCCAGAATCTCTTCCTCTTAATGTATGGTGCTTTTAGCAGGGTAAAATGAGGATTAAGAATGGACACTCTTAATAGAGGTTTCTGTTACTTACCAGTTGGAAAATAAGCTTAATGGTGACATTTTTGTCATGTAATGCGCGTCCCAAAGTCAACAACCTAAAGAAAATCACAGTATTGGGTGAGTGTTCCAGTCCCAGTATCCTGGAAGACATGGTGATGTCAAAGAACCTACCTTGAAATTCAAGCTAAAGCAGAAATGTACAGCTTATGAACCAGATATGTGAACTCCTGTATCAGTGTATCTAAGTATGGATGTCTTTCTTAGAATCTCTCTTCCATGGGTTTCCATCATCCAAGAGAAAACAGACAGCTTTCTCAATGGTAGCATCTCATTTGTGGAATCTTCTCCCATGGGACATCTGCTCAACTATTACCTTTTCTTATTATGCAACTGCATTCTTATTATAGTAGACCTTTTATTGTATTTGATGGTACTTTGGGCTCAACATATTTGATTCCTGCTCGGTTGAAAGGCAACATATCCATTTTTATAAAGATAAATAAATGGCAGCAGTGACAGACCAAAACCACCTGCAACTGATAGCTAGTGCAGAATTTGAATCTGAAATACAATACTCACACCAGAGAACTGTTTAGGGTGGAGAACAAAAACAATGTAAAATAGTTAATTGGAATCTTGAACATTTCACACTGCAGAGTTGTGTTGTAGGTTATATTTTGTTTCTTCTCTTGAGCATAAGCCTGTGATAAGAATTATTGTAAACATAAAAGGCACTGAAGAAGCCTTTTGAAAGAACAAGACGACAGCATGAGCAAGCAAAAGTCCAAGGGGAACATCTGAGTCCAATTGCTGATAACTTCCCCATGCATGCCCATTTCAACAGCAACACTGAAGGAATGAGCTTGAACATGTGGGAAAAGAAATGATCAAAGAAACAGAAGCAGCTATAATTTCATGGGTGCAGTAGATGTGTGTATGCAAACAGACAGGCAAGGCAATCAGATTGGCACTTCCTTCAAGAAACAGATTAGCATCCAGCAGGAAACATGGTGAACTATTCTGATATTTCAGAGCATTTCATCTTGCCTGAAAGGTTGTCCATCTGACAAGTGTTATTTCAAGGACATGCTATTGTCACCACATATTAATCCCATTTTCATCCTGGCTGCCGGCAACGGATGCCCAAAGTGACTTTGCTTTATCATGGCTTGGTTGTCTGAAGCTTTGGGGATATGTATCAGCCACCATAAACAGTTAACCCAAATGGTTACAGAGTTTCCCTGTGAACATAACCATCAGCCTTTAACAAAAAAAGAGTGTTCCCATTTATTGCTTCACCATCCAGAATCTCACTGATATACAGAATTCTTATTGTTTTCAAAAACAGGAAGCAATGTAGAAAACTCATTTTGCTGCCATGTACATTTGGGTCCAAGGACTATATAAGAGCCCTGAAACTGCTAACTCTTTTACTCAGAAGGTAAACCAGAACTGCAGGCAATATTGTACTGAGGCTTCCATTATAATCCTGTCCATGTTACACATAGATGGGTTTTGCTGTGAGCATTTCTCCCAAGTAAATATTCTGTAATATTTACTAAGTATAACTGATTTTCATCCTAAGTATAACTGACCAAAAAGAAGTACCCTTGAATTCAATGGGGATCCATTGGGGATTGCAATTCAATCATAATACTTTACTTGTAGCATCCCCATTCTTTTATCAGAGCACTGGACAACAGTTCAAGCTTATACTCCATAGTATCTGCATCACAAATGGTATTTGCCTTCTGCCTAATGCACCTATCTTTATGTTAAGGACAAAGCAATCATTTTTGCAGCTCATCTGAGATTAACAGAATGGACACACAGCCTGGGATTGAAGACTGTAATATGTTTCATGGAAAAACCCACTGCCCACTAGGGCTTGAATTTTACATCATGGTTGGTACACTGGACAAGACATCCATGTGAATTCCGCATGGCTGAAATGAGTCTCCTGGAACTAGAGGGCAACTGTTTAAAGGCTTATTGTGTGGTAACTTTTCTCACATTATGAGACACATTTGAAAACTCCACATGTGATAAGTCTGTCCTTTTTGCCCCTATCAAACCCAGAGCCACCCCTAAACACAGGGAAGTAGAAGAATGGGAATGAAATAACATTGGCTTTACCACATGGCTGGAGGCTAAAACTACTTTACCTCATAGATACAACCGCTAGTTAGTCATTCACAAAAGGAAAACAGCTGCTGTGTCATTGCTGGTGATCTCTTATCATTTTCAACAGCATTCAATATGGGTGTCACAATTTCGGTACATCTAGTAGTCCTTGTTTGTTATCTTATTTTAGGCAAAACACATACTGTGTGGATTGATAAAGTGTCAAGGATATGCCATCTGGGAATTGATGCCTCCCAACTGATTAGGATAGAAGGACTTGTTTCTTACACTTCTAGGTAAAAGTGTAAGTGAGGAAAGACCTAAGCCATCTAGTAGCCTGGTGGTTCTACAATTCAATTTTTTTTTAAATGACATGAGCTCAGATTTCACAATCCATAACACATAATATTTCTTAGCTGGAACAACATTGGAAGAACGTGGTGGGGTGGGGTGGAGGGGAGTGCAGTGGGATTTCATAAATCAGATTTACACTCCCCACTACAAATTAGTTTTAACGCTACTAACTGGGAGAGGCAGATCCTGCCTTGATTGCTTCATTCTTGAAACAAGCAGGTTGTTCTTTATCCCAGACTCCACTCCCAGAGCTCCCATTATACTTTGTGATAGCAGCTCTGCCCTAAAATTGAAGTCCTGTACTTCTACTTTAGCAGCATTTCAAGAGCTTCAGCCATCCTCTGAGCCCTCATACAGGCTGTAAGCAACCACCTTTGCTGATTAATCCCGCACAAGGCTTTTCACACTATCCTGGATCCAGATCAGCTGTCTTGTTCTTTCTCAGTCAGCAGATCATCTATGCTAGCAAAATTTAACTCCTTATTGTCAACTGTAACAGAACTTAGGTTGGGACCAAGAACTTCCAAGGTGAAAGCAGGTGCCTGAAAACTATCATCCCCTCCTGCTACAGAACTCCCATTCATGTATGTCTCCACATGTCTCAACAGCTGCTTTGGGTTTCTTTTGGCAGATGCTTCCAGTTCTAGAGAAAGAAGAAAAAAGAAAAGGAAAAATGATGTCTAATATGACCATGCTTTGAAAAGTCACAACATCCAAGCTAGAATGAATACAGACTTCTGGCTTACAAAGAAAAGCTACAACACTTCCCAACTTAGCATCCTTCTGATGTATTAGATTGCAATCCAGTTAATCCTAACCACAAGGTCAAGTGCTGTGGATTTTGAGATTATAGTCCGAGCTGGGGTTTGGGGGCTAAATTCTATGAAGAATTGGGTATGTTTAACCTAAAGAAGGGAAGGCTAAGGGAAGACATGATAGCAGTCTTCCAATACTGGAACAGCAGTCACAGCAAAGAGGATTCTCTATATTGCCTGAGGATAGGATAAGAACCAAAGGGTGGAACTTACCCAATGAGAAGGATCCAAACTCAGAATTAGGAGGAATTTCCTGGCCATGAGAGCTATTAAACAGTGGAACAACCTGCCTCCTAGATTCATGGGTGCTCCATCGATGGTGGTTTTCAAGCAAAGGTTGGACAGCCATTTGTCTGGGATGGTCTGAGGATTCCTGCCCTGGGTGGGGGGTTGAACTAGAAGACCTCCAAGGTCTTCAACCCTACGATTCTATGATAACGATTAGGAAAGGGCTTAACTACAACTGAAGCTTTTTTAACTAAGAAAAACCATGTAACCTGGCAGAGGAAGTTTTAAAAACTGTGCGTAGTTCAGAAAAAAAATGGAGAAAGGTAGATAAGGTAAGGGACTTCTTTTCCATTTCTTGGTTGGAAGGCGCCATGGTGCCTCCTGTCAGTCTCAGTTCTGACAGTGTTGCCCAATGGAATGTCTGGAGTAGAATCGAGGAACTAAATGAAAATTGGTTTCCTTTATTCTTTCCATTTGTTCCAATCAGAAGCAGCTATGACTAGGGGAACATTCAGCAGACACATGGCTGCATTTCACAAATGCAGCCTCCAGCAGCAAACTATGAAATGAGCAATCCAACAATTACATCTTCATTCTCAAAGAGGGGAAAAAGTAAATGAGCTCTGCATACAATTTTATTAGTAATGTATGTAGATTGGTGAGAAAATGAATTAGATTTTACTCAATTAACCACCTAGACATTTCTAAATCATGTGTCAACCCTAATATATGTCTATTCAAACCATAAGCCAACATCAGTTATGCAAATGATATGTACGCTAGCACATTTGCTTAATTTGCCTAATGAACTCCAGAGATGGAACCTGTATTTGCTTGATGGAATGTGGTTATTTTGGGGGAATGGTCCCATGTTTGCTTGGAGTAACACCTGATTTATTTACTGTATAAGTTATCTGGATAATAACGTTAAGAATTAATGTTAAGAATTATTGACAAAGGTCCTGCTGATTCAGGACAGAGAGAACAAAAATACTATTAAGTATTTATGATTTATTTGGAATGCATTAACCTCACCATCTGAGGTTCAGCTGAAGTTGAGGTTGTCATTCCAAATGTTTTTCAGTATCTCTTGCATTAGGAGACTCTTGGGGGTGATTTTCATATCTTGTCTACTGCAAGAAAAACCTGTTCACTGGGAGTGAAAACTGTATTATTGAAGCCTTGCATGGAGGAGTGCATTAATGCAAGGAACGCACAATGTTAATTCTGTTGATGTTTAGTTTTGTGAACAAGACCAAAGCAACCCACCTTTTAGAACAAAACCAGAATCAGAAATGGTCTTTCGCTGTGTTTTCCAGATGTTGAAAAGGCGTAAAAATACAGCCACATACAAATCATTGAGCACTGCAATGACCTGCTGCCTTCGATTGCATTCTCTGAAAAAGACACATCACAAAATATTTGCACCCAGTACCACCTCCCTGTCAGTGGGACATACTCGAGGGGCTCAGTCCTCCTTGAGCTGTCTGGGTTCTTTCTTTCTCTCTTTTTCTTAAATATCCTTTGTACTTCAGCAAACCTTTAGATCTTCCCTTCAGGCCTACTGCCCGTAGATGGTGCTGTTTGGCTATGTAGGAATTCACATCTGTTTCACTGTTTATGTGGAATGTATACAGGCACACGCTTATTTTAAAATACAGGGAAGACTTAAAGGTTATAATTGTGTTTCAAACAAACGATAAGAGATTATTCTGCTCTCTTTAAGGCTGTGAACTGATTTAAGAATCTTTTTACTGATAATAAATTAAAATAAATCTCCACATCTTACAAAATATACCCGTGGAGGATGTACAGGGAAGCTTAAAACAAAGAATCCAGTATACATTACCAAAAG